ATGCAAAATTTGTATTGTATTTGTGTGTTTTGCTTCTGTTAATCTGTTTTATGTTAGTTTAATTCTCGGGCCCAGCCAGGACCCTGAAAGAAAGAGGTGAATCCTAGTTTGTCATTGCTATTTGATTACTCACTCTGGGGTTTTATCTTTGGCAAATCATCAATTGCTCGTAGCAACAGGGCTACTGCACTGTTCCAGCAATGGAATGGGTTCCATATTCCTTAGAAGTACTATTTTCTTCATATTTCTCAAATGACAGACTCAAAGCTCTGCTTTTTTATTTCTCCCTACAGGTAGAGAGCATCCCTGCTCACCACTGGTAAAAGTTTACACAATTGCATTGCTCCATTATGGCAGGGCTATCTGTGCCACCACACTCGCCGTCACGCCTATCTTGGGGTCTTCATTGCTCCAGAATCCCATCTTGGTGTCTCCTTTCTCAGACGCTCCTGGTCCTCGGACAACCCATGACTGTCCAGATTGTATCACTGAAAGATCCATGTCTTGGGAAAACCCTCAGTCCAGGACAAACGGGGATGATTGGTCACCCTGCTGGTAACAGTTGTCACAGGCAGTTCTCCTGGAAACAGATGCTAAGGCAGAGGCGAGTGCACAGAGGTTTACTGGGGAGTGCTTCTGCCTTCAACTGTTGTGCAAGGGAAGAGAGAAAGCAGGATCTGGAAAGAGACCAGGTGTTGTGACACTTCAGGATCTCCATGCGCAGTTGGCAAGTCAGAGGGGATGTGGGAGACTGACGGAGGATAGGCCTGCGAAGGATAAAAGCGAGGGAGGGTAGGAGCAGGCAGGGATGAATAACAACAATAAAATACCTGTGAGTCAATAACTACATCAGAGGCCACCAGACTGGAGACATGTGCTGGATCAGGGGCCAGTCCCCACCACCTGGTCCACAAGGAAGAGGTCCCATGGAAAGCACCAGAAGGTGCCGGGTGCTTCCCTCAAGAAGTAAACAGAGGGTTTCCTCTCAGTGATCAACTATTACTGGGAAATTTTCAGGTACCCCAAGATGCAGGAATCACTATCTTATTTAACTTGTTCTAGAAGAATTTGCCCACACTATCAGTCATGAAACAGACATAAGCAGCACAGCTGATTCAAATTGAGACAAAATGATAGCTTGCACAAGATGTAGCTTATCAGCTACAAAACCAAAGTGAATATACTGAAGAATAACTTCCCATATACCCAAGGCATACGAGTGAGAGGGTATTAGCACTAAGCACTTGGAGAAGATGTCAAAAATGTATGGACCTGGTTATATTAAATTCCTATTGGTGCTATAACAAATTACCACATATTCAGCGGCTTGGAATAACAGAAATTTATTCTCTTCTAGTTCTTGGAGCCTGAAGTCCAAAATGAAGCTTCCAGGGCTGAAATCAAGGTACCAGCAGGGGTGGCTCCTTCTGGAGGTCTGAGAGTTTGGATGTGTTGTCCCCGCCAAAACTCATGTGGAAATCTGATCCCCAGTGTGGCAGTGCCAGAAGCTGTTTGAGTCATGGGGGCAGATCCCTCATGAATGGATTAATGCTGTCCCTAGGGGAGGAGGGGTAGTGAGTGAGTTCTCACTCTATTAGTTCCTGTGAGAGCTGGTTGATTAAAAGACCCTGGGACATCCTCTCTCTCTCTCTCTTGCTTCCTCTCACTGTGTGATCTGCTTGTACCTGCCGGCTGCTTGCTGCTTTAGTGAGACCTGGTTGATTAAAAGACCCTGGGGCATCCTCTCTCTCTTGCTTCCTCTCACTGTGTGATCTGCTTGTACCTGCCGGCTGCTTGCTGCTTTCTGCTGAGTAGAAGCAGCCTGAGGCCTGTGCCAGATGCAGCTGCCCCAGAATTGTAAGCCAAATCAACCTCTGTTCCTTATAAACTACCTGGTCTTAGACATTTCTGTTATAGCAACACAAAACAGACTAATACAAGGTCCCAGGGGAGAATCCATTTTGGTGCCTCCTCCAGGTGCTAGACGCTGCTGACCTTCCTTGGTTTCCAGCCACATCATCCAATCTCTGTTCACATCTTCTTCTCTTCTGTCCTCAAATCTCCAACTGCCATCTTCTTAGAAAGATAACTTTGGTTAAAATTTAGAGCTCATTGGATAATCCAGGGTAATGTCCCTATCTCAAGATCCTTAATCACATCTGCAAAATCCTTTTTGCCATATTAGGTAACATTCCCAGGGATTAGGCCCTGGATATGTTTGGGGACATTAGCCAGGCTGCCATACCAGCCTTCAAATCTTACTCAGGTACACACAGGAAATACTCTGATGGAGTGTTCCCAGGATTTTCACACAGTGGGCCACTGACATATTCCAGAAATAGGAGCTGTCCACAACCAATTTTTAAAAGACTATAAAGTGATCTGTCAGCTCTACCTTTCTTGAAATAGCAGTATGGACTGAATATTTGTTGAATATGTTGAATATGTGATGGTATCTGGAGGTTGGGACTTTAGGAGGTGATTAGGTCATGAGGGCTCTGGATTTGTGCACTTATAAAAGAGACCCCAGAGAGCTCATTTCTGCCTTCCGCCATGTGAGAAGTGTCTATCAAGAGGGATCTGATCAGTTGCTGAATCTCCCAGTGCCTTGATCTCAGACTTCCAGACTCTAGAATTGTGAGAAATAAATATCTACTGTTCATAAGCCACCTGATTTAAGATATCTAGTTATAGCAGCCTGAAGGAACTAAAAAAATTAGTATAACTGGAAACCCAGTTAGAATGACTTGGGCACCCCAGACAAACCCACCAGCTACTTTTCCACTGATGCGACAAAGGAGCCAACTGGGAAAGATTTCATTGGAATAAAGGGGAAAATGCATATGCAAACATTGCTGCAAAGACAGCGGGTCAGGGTCTCAGGGAGGGCAATTTTGTATAGAGCACAAGGTCTGTCCCAACAATTCTCCAACTCAGCCCCCATGGAATACTGCTTAACTGATGTGTCAAAGGAGAGGAACTCTGAAGGAAAGGTCTCATATGTTACCCTTTTTCCGCATGTCCTTAACAAACTCTTCAAGATATTTTCCTATTAGCAAATCCCTGCCTCTGGCTCTCATGACCCAATGCTCCAGCCTTCTCTCCACTTAGTTTGCCATGATGGAGCCAACCCCTTGCAACTTCCTTTCATGGCCCCTCAACAGCAGCCCATTCTATGCACACAGAGTCTCCAGTGGCCTGAGACATGAGATATCTTGAGAAGCTAGATACGGTATAAGGACTGGAGCAATGACCAGAAACTCTGGATTTGAAAAGGGCTTGAGAGAACAATACCCTAGGAGAAGACTGAAGAGTGTGCTCTCTGGAGTGAAGGAAGTCTGACTGAATCGAGCTGGGATCGCATCTCCTTCTGGGGTTATATAAGTTGCACTAAAGAGCAGCTGGCACCAGGAAGAGCCTAAGGCTCTCTCTCCAGGACCCTCTTCACAGACTGGAATCCTTGTCTTCAGAGAAGAGGACACTGGGTTTGTCCTATGGGTTAGTGATCACCAAACATCCTGAGAACCTGGACTTTGCATTTACCTCTTTTTATCCTGAAACAGAGACTTGGTCTGAGCAGGCTACTAAGAGATGTGCCATCCAAATATGGTCATGAGCTGCATAACAACATTTTGGTATCCAATGGATCGCATATACAACAGTGGTCATATAAGATTATAATGGAACTGAACAATTCCTGTGGTGTAGTGATGTTGTAGCACAAATTACTTTAAAAAAAATAATTTAGTGTAGTGCTTACAGTCAGGATGGTGGAATAGACAGTCTCCAATGTTACTCTCTCCCACAAATCAACCAATTTACAACTATTAAAAAGCAACAACAGGGCCGGCCTGTGGCTCACTCGGGAGAGTGCGGTGCTGATAACACCAAGGCCACGGGTTCGGATCCTATATAGGGATGGCCGGTTGGCTCACTAGCTGAGCGTGGTGCTGACAACACCAAGCCAAGGGATGAGATCCCCTTACCGGTCATCTTTAAAAAAAAAAAAAAAAAGCAACAACAGCCAAGCTGGGGCCGCAAGGGCTCATGCGAAGAGAAATAGAGACCTACGGAATGCATGAAGGTGGGAGAAGCCATGATGAGAGAAAGAAAGGATCACTCCTACCATTTCAAGATCCGACAGCTTCAAGGCTTGAGCTGGTGAGCACATGGAGCAACAGCTGGTAAAAACCACTGCTGTGCCCTTCATATGAAGTTGCTTGGAGACAGCAGGGGAGTGGAGAGCCTTAGTGGCCCTCAAGCCAGCAAGACCAACAGAGTTCCCGTGAACCCACATAGGAGCGAGGAGCCAGAACAATTGATAAAAAGGAGCCACTCAGAGTCTGGTGAATCATCACAAGGGACCGGCAGAAGGCCCATTCCATGGGAAATGTTTGGAGTGCAGGTGGTGGGGGAGACGGGCCACCAGGTAAACACTGGAGCACAGCAAGGACAGCTGATCTGCCCCCCAATCAGCACAGGGCCACTCAGTAGAGACTGATCAGGGACACAGAACTGCAGGGGAGCCAGTTAGCAAACTGGCTTTTCAGCGAAAAGACTCAGGCCCAGACCAGAGCTTCTACACAACCCAGGTGCACCAGATCTCACGAGACCTGGAAGTACCTACAAAGGCAACCATTAAAACCTGAGCTGCACAAAAAGCTTACCCTGGGGAATCAGCAGCAAAGCAATAATTTAGCTCAACCACAGGATTCAAGTGCTGGTCCCCAAAGGAAGTTCCCCTATTTTAGAAGTAAGCAAAGGACAACAAATTAGTTCCAGTGAAGAATTTAAGTGATGTGAATAGCAAATAATCCAAAACAGAACTGAAAGAAAAATCAAAATAACCACAGACCAGAGACAAAGTTTGATATTAACTAGTAAAGGTCTCACTTCACCAAAGAACACCTATAAATCCTAGAAGGACTGGAAGCCCCCTGGACCCCCAAGCCAGGGAGGGGGGAGGGCTGGGAGCCTCAGACATGTCTTCTGACACCCACCAAGCTGCTGGAGGAAGCACCCTGGCCCCTGAACTGAGATGGGGTGGACCTTGGGCCTTGGCAAAGCACCCCCAACACCTACATCCAGCCCAGAGATGACCACTGAGCCACTGCAGAAAACACTCTGGACTCCAGAGCCAAGGCAACGGGGGTCCAAGGGTTTGGCCACATCTCCCGTCATCTCCACTGAGCTCAACAATGTCCAGGCCACTCTGGAAGCCCTCTGGTCTCCCCTGCAGGAATGAGGGGGGTGCCACAGGCCTCAACCACACCCCCACTCCTTCCTCCTTTCCCACCCTGTTTCCTTTTCCCTTCCTCTCTCCCATTGCCACCCAAATGCTCTGCAACAAGATTTTAGAATGTGAAAACAGATGGAGCCAGGAACCTACTTCATCCCCTACAACCAGGCACACACTGCTGCCACAGGGCCTGCCCGGAGTACTGGGGCATGTAGTCGGATCTGACCCCTCATCCTTCAACCAGGCAAGGAGCACGCCAAAAAGACCACTTCCATGTGGGTGGCCCACCATAGCCACCACAATAGCCATGGCTGCTGCAAAAGCAGCTAGACACCATCCGCAATGTGCAGATGGTTGGCCAGCCACTTGAGTGCATTGACACAAGGAGCGTCACCAGTGGAGACCAAAGAAAAGAAGAGGACATTTCTCTCCACAAGGCCCATTCCAGAGTGATAGAAGAAGCATCTACTCTGTGATAGTAGTGGGGGACCTGAACACACCTCTCAGCATTGGACAGATCATTTTGGCAACAAATCAACATAGTAACCATTACTCTTTCAGAAGGAGAGAAGAAATTTAGGGTTATCAGAGGTGGGTGGCGGGGAAAGAAAGGGGGATGGGGACAGATTGGATAAAGGGCATAGAGAATAAGTATGATATATAATAATATATATGTGAATGATATTGATTTGATCAATATACATCAACATTGAATCCCCAAAATATGTAAAATCAACTAGGAAGTTCCCTTCTATTCCTAGTTACCTGAAGTTTTTAAAATCATAAATGAATGTTGAATTTTGTCAAAATTTTGCCTTTTCTGTATCTACTGAGATGATATGATTTTTATTCTTTCGTCTATTCATTTGGTGAATTACATTGACTGATCCTCAAAAAAAAATTTTTTTAACTACCTTTTATCGATATTTCAGAAAAATCTTGTTTAAAGGAGAAAACTAAATTTTATTTTTGTACCAATTTTAATAAAACCTAATGAATGGGCCGGCCTGGTGGCGCACTGCTATAGTGCGCCGCTTGGGAAGCGCGGTGGCACTCCTGCCGAGGGTTCGGATCCCACATACAGGCCGGTTCCCGCTCACTGGCTGAGCGAGGCACGGGAGCAACACCGAGGGTTGCGATCCCGTTGCCGGTCCCGGTCCGGTGCGGGGGCAACACTGAGGGTTGCAATCCGTTGCCGGACACGGAAAAAGACAAAAAAAAGGAAAAAATAAAAATAAAACCTAATGAACAAAAAATGAATAAATAAAATACAAAAATAAATAAATAAATAAATAAATTTAGGGTAGCCTGAGAGTACAGTGTTTATAATGCCTACAGCACTGCACAGTAATGTCCCAGGCCTTCAAATTCACTCACCACTCACTCGCTGACTCACCCAGAGCAGCAAGCAGTCCTGCAAGCCCCATTCATAGTAGTGCCCTACACAGGTGTACCATTTTCTATCTTTCATACCATATTTTTACTGTACCTTTTCTATGCTTAGATATGTTTAGATGCACAAATACTTACCATGTGCTACAATTTCCTGCAGTATTCAGTACACTAACATGCTGTACAGGTTTGTAGCCTAGGAGCAATAGACTACACCATATAACCTAGTTGTATAGTAGGTTATACCATTTAGGTTTGTGTAAGTGCACTCGATGATGTTCACATGATGAAACTGCCTAATGATGCATTTCTCAGAACTTATCCTGTCGTGAAGTGATGCATGAATGTACTAAACAGGAATGTTTAATCCTGCAGGAAATGGGAAAATGCACATCCACCTGACTCTAACAGGAATGCAAGGGGGCGGGGGGTGTCTTAGTTTGTTTGAGCTGCTATAACAAAATGCCATAGACTGGACAGCTTATAAACAACAGAAATTTATTTCTCACAGTTTTAGAAGCTGGGAAATTTAAGATCAAGGTGCCAGCAGATTCAGTGTCTGGTTAGGTCCCACTTGCTGGTTCATAGATGGCAGGCAGTCTCTTCACTGTACTCTGGGGTTACACATGGTGAAAGGTGCAAGGGGTCTCTCTCAGGCCACTTGTATGACCTCATTCATGAAGGTTCCACCCTTATGACCTGATCACCTTCCACAGACCCCACATCCTAATACCATCACTTTGGGGGTGAGGATTTCAACATACGAATTTTGGGGGGACATAAACATTTAGACCATTAGCGGGGAGATACATAGTTTTGGGGTGATAGAAAGTCCTGACAATCTTTCAGTACCACTTCCCACCCCATGTGTCTAGTTTTCCAGATCTTAAGAACTGTGATCCCCTAAACAAGGGTGGGAAGAGTTCTAAGGTCACCTGAGTAACTCTGTGCACAGAGGACTAGGGGAGGAGATTCTAGTTATAGAGACATGGGACTTGTGCTTTCTGTTCAGAAGAGGAGGATTTCCTCTTAACTTTTTAAGATACTCTGTTATTTTATTCATTGTTTTTAGATGTGTTCTGAAAAGCAGATCTTCCAAGGATAAAACACAATAATGAAATGGCAGAACTGAGGACACTTCAGATGCTATTAGATGGGGATTCAGGACTGGGTTTAGAAATGGGCTGGAGCTGTGTCTCGTGCTCTCCACTGTGAAGAGGCCCCCTGGAAAAACCCCATCCTCCTCACACCCTGCCTGGCCCCACGTTCTCAGCTTGGTTTGGCCCATTGTACTAAAAATAGTGTTGCCTGTGCCTTGTATTTCTCTACACTCTTTGCTTATTTGCAGCAAACAGCATGATGCGCACTGACATCATAATTTATATCAAAAATTATTCTGGGAAATTATGACCAAAAATAGGACAGGAAAAAGAAATAAAGGAGAACAAGTTTTACAATGCAAGAGAAGAAATAAATATTTGCACTTATGATTGATTTAACTGCTAAAACTAAGAGAACCAACTGCAAATGAGTAGAGAGAGAGTGGTGGTTATTGCATACTAACAATTACCAGTGGCAGATACCAGGTGGGTTAGGGTGGCTTTGCACAGAGTTCAGGAACAACATGACAGTAGAAAGAGAAAAGAATCATTACTAAATGTCTCACCACTTGAGAAAAGCCATTGCTTTCTTTTTTTGTACATATCTTTCCTAGGTCAATGGTTCTCAAACTTATGCTCTCAGGACCCTTTTCTAACTTGAAAAAAAATTGTTGAAAGTCTCCAAAAGCTTTTGTTTGAGTGGATAATATCTGTCAATATTGACCATATTAATTAAAATGGAAAATATTTATTAATTCAACTTATTAATAAATATTTATTGATTGATTCAATTATATATAACAATACTAAACCAATTACATGTAAATATAAATTGTACATTTCATGTTTTTGACAATTAAAAAAATTAGTGTGAAGCATGGGGTTGTTTTTAATTTCTGCAAATCTCTTTAATGTCTGGCTCAATACAGGCAATTTTTTTGTTTTGTTGTGTTTTTTTGGCAGCTGGCTGGTACAGGGATTGAACCCTGAACCTTGATGCTATCTGCACCATGCTAACCAACTGAGCTAAGTAGCCAGCCCTCAATATAGGAAGTTGGATCCTCACATCTACTTTTGCATTCAGTCTGTTGCAATATGTTGTCTGAGTGGACGTGCATAATGAAAATCCAGCCTCACAGAGAGATTTGGTGGAGGAACAGAGGAGCCATTCGTAGCGAACAAATCCTAAGAAAGAAGTGCAAGGTACAAGAACTGGTTTCAGGACAGCAGCCAGTGATCTGAAGGGAGGACTAGCTTTGGGCAGAACAGTAGTCAGTCACATAAATGATCCTCTGGTTCAGATGACCATGAATTAAGTAGTGTGAAGGGAAGGGCACTGAAAGAGTAGAATTGAAGTTTCCCATTTCTTGCTGCTCCATCTGCAAAATTTGAGAAAAGGAGCTTTTTCACAACAGGCTTTAAAAATGGGTTTGAATAGAGGGGAAAAAAACTCTCCTTGTTTATGGACTGTAGAGTATGTACCATAGGATGTTTTCCAGTGAATCATATGCTTGCATAATCTCTTCTCCTTGAATTTGGGGAGAAACTGTGATTTGCTTCTCACAGTCTAAACACCTCTTAAAGGCTCCACCTTTCAATTATCGTAATTGGATTTCCACCCTCTTAATACAGTTGCAATGGAGATAAAGATTCCAATACATGAACTTTTGGGGGACACATTTAACACATAGCAATGTGGAAACTTAAAAAGTGGAACTTGTAGGAGTACAAGTGTGGTTTCCAAGGGCTGGGGGTGGGGGGGTAATTGGATTTCCACCCTCTTAATACAGTTGCAATGGAGATAAAGATTCCAATACATGAACTTTTGGGGGACACATTTAACACATAGCAATGTGTAAACTTAAAAAGTGGAACTTGTAGGAGTACAAGTGTGGTTTCCAAGGGCTGGGGGTGGGGGGACATAGGGAGATGCTGGTCAAAGGAATTCAACTAACCACCTGGTTGAGATATAAAACAAGGTTTACTTGGGAAATCATTAGGACTGCAGCCCCGGAAGACACATTCATGGGCCAATCATAGCAACTGAACCTCCGGCCAATCAGAGGATGAATGTTGCCAAAGCCTGACCTTATAAGGCAAATGCTACTGCTGCCAATCATGCCGTTTCTGTAGGTCACTTCCTGTTCTCTAGCTATGTATATGACCTGTGCTTGTGGTGAGGTGGTGCACATTTTCAACGCCCCATCTCTCCAGAAGCCCGGCCTCCTCCACACCCCAAAAGGGACTGAGAGGAAGCAGGTGCCAAAACCTGACCTGGGCCTCACAACCCTCTAGATTCCAGGCTGCAGCGCCTCCTGGGGGCCACAGACGTAAGATCCTCCTGGAGGTTAAGGGGCCCAGCTCTGTGAGAGCCGGAAGACCAGGCCCTCCACACCCGTCCTCCACAGCCTTGACCCGCCCCCCAGCTGTGACTCGTCCACGGCGCTTCC